TGTTTATGCAAATTTCAGAGCATTATGCAAATTACGTTTGTGGCAGTGGTGAAAACCCGAAACGAGAGGAACGGAAGTGAGGGCGCCACCTGTGTTTGGAATGTGACTGACCAGTAGTTTTATTTACAAGCTGATAACACTAATCTCTGTAAACATCGATGCGTGTATCGGTCCAGTCAGGCTTGCCTCTATAGAGCATGGACCTGAGCTACATAGGCATCCCGTAACAACCAAACTAATAACGCAGTTAATAAGGGAAGTGTTAAGAAGTGATGTGGCATTGATTCATGCTTATATCAACAATAACATTCGTCTGAACTGCGGATTTACCGTATAATGTCATTTGCCATCCTTGTATCGTTGAGCTACGATACCACGGCGATGATCACGATGTACGTACGCTTAGAGTGATGTCACGCTTCGGTCAATGATAAAAAAAATATATATTCACTGCACGGCGCTCACACTTTCACTCTCATAATACTCTCAACTAATACGTGGTAATAGCAAAGATAATAGATTTGAGACGATGCATCATTCCGTGAAATACCCTTTCTGTTATAAAACATGGCGACACATCGAAAATACAAATTGAGTTCATCGTCTGCTACGTGAGTTCACGTCTGCGATTGAACAATCACTTGATGCGTTGGTGAGGTCCTAAGCCCAGTTGATACATCGCATAGTGTTATTTTTCTATGAATTATTTTTTTGCATATGGCTTCGAAATCGGTCATTTTCGGTGAGACAAGCCATTTAGAACTATGCGCATACACCATGACACAAAACCAGAACAGAAAATATTGAGGCACCCCGTTAACGGCGAGTAAAATGAAAAGAGACATTTATAGCGACGAGGACCCGTGAACCTAAGTAAATATAAACTTAGCAGTAGTGTACAGTTGTTCGTCACTACGATAGACAAACACATCAGAATAAATCTCCGATGTGATGGCAACATTTTCGTTATTCCCACGCTTTGCAAACTCACCGGTAGATGTGCGACGTGGTGTCGACGTCGGAATTATTTGTTCTGTTTTACTATAAATAAGCGAAATATTTCTCAAAAATTGTGACATGATTGTGAAATTGTGCTGTTACTAATTTATGTGAAAAACTACTTCCAGACTGAGCCTCTTTACATCACTTTGAAAATAACAGGAAGTGTTCATAAACATGCAGGCCAGTCTCCCTTTACAATCAATGAAGTTATAGAAATAACAAGTGTGCGAGTTTAAAACTAGATAAGACACGTCGTACACATTACCACCACCTGTAGAACATCATGCACCCTTCTCCCACGGGCATGTATTTGTATGTTTCTTTTAGTATCAGCATTGTCCAATTTTCTCCAACACCAGGCAGGGAATTGTATCCGTGGTATCACACGTACAATGTGTGGATAAATTGCCACACCATAGTTGCCTTTATGCGAACAATGCAAGGTTTGAATATTTCGGCGAGTGCCAGTGTCATACTTTCATTTCGTTTCTTTGCGTTTTTCAGTCAACATGCATAAAATAACCATTAGCGTTGCCGAAGCACAAGAAGTTGCCATCCGCGCCCTGTTTATCCAATGAGAATGGGAGTTGGTTGTGGATGGGAATCCGTACGAATCACCACCCGACGAATTCAACACGAATGCGGGGTTAGATGACAGCGGATTTGTTCCCGACCATGGCCCTGACTTGGCACAAAGACTATAGGCTATAGAAGGGACTTCTGAGAAAACGAATGCAATTTCTGTTTTTGCCAGCCTTGCGTTACCACGAATAAGCAATATTGGTTGGGCAGTGGCTAAGGTGCATGGAGCTAAAACATGGTCCGTGTGATTATAATGCTGATGTACAAGAAATATTTGACCATATTGGGACCTAGAAACGTTTGGACCGACGATCGATACATTGAACGCAAGCGTCAGTTGAATATTACCGATGATGTTGTTGTTACTCAGAGGGAAATCATTCCAGTTTGTGTTGTGCAACAAGCTCGTTCGATGTACCCCAATTTACCAGCAGTGCCATAAATGGGACATCGATGGCATTGAAATAAGTGTATACTAGTTACACACAAAACAAACCGCCCTTTTCAGGGCCACCCACATCCTCCAAAAGGAGAAAAGCCGTAAATACCAAATGTGTTGAGTGTAGCTCAGTATAATAGCTAATTTTTTTTTAAATATAGTTTGAAGCTTCTGTTTCTCTGTCGCTAATACACTGCGTAAAAAGCCCGTATATCGACTACAGCCACTTGTAACGAAAGAAGAACGGCTATATACATTTTAGCATGACTGTGACGAGTGTACCGTAATCGGCAACCCTAGAGATCACGTGATTCGAGTCTCATTTACGATCCATTTACTGTCATAGGCTGCGTTATTTTCGAAACATACGTCACCACGTGCACCCTCGGACAATAACAGTAAATAATACTAAATTTTATTAAATCAACTAGGGGTATTTCTGGCTTGTACTCTCTGTGGCGACTTTTTAAATTTGAGAACACGATTGTCATTGTCTTCGTTGAATCTGCTTTGTGATAATGAGAAAACGCATTATGAACTGTGTAAATGTTTGTGGAGATTAGATGACGCATTCTGTTTCAGCGGTCCAACATGACGTGACTTTCATTGACAGCAGTTAATTATTCAAGTTTTGTAGCGCGTCCGTGTTTTTGACTTTTAACCGCCAAAATTTCAACTCGTACACTTTATAAATAATATATATAATCAATGCTGTGATATTCATAGTCACATGCATCCACTTTGACACGACATACTCGACCTGTAAGTTCGAGAAAACGTGTTTTTACCGGAGTTTGGCTGGAGCTGTTTACTAAAGCGTGACGTGCAAGGAAATAATCCCTATTGTTTAGAAGCGTATTTATAGTATATCTGGGTAATACAATTTGAGTAATTTGTGTTCACGCATAAGAACAAATCGGTATTTGGGGTTAGTCTAGAGAGTTGATTTAGACTCCAAGCTGCTCCGCGACCGTGATTTTTGGCATATGTATTCTTTTTATCTCTGATATTAATGCCTATCGTCCCTCCTGGGACATAGGTCACCAACAAGATTACTCCAAACAGGCTGGCCTTGAGTCAGACGCTCCACTGCCCTCCAGGTATAGCCCAACCTCCGGACATCAGCCTCTAGATCCCGTCGCCAGGTATTTCTTGGACGGCCCCGTTTCCTTTTGCCCTGTAGGTTCCAGCTGAGTGCCAAACAGAGTTCTCTGATAGCTGCTAATGAAATCTAGCAATGATAGTGTGTCTACCACCTAGACTTTAAAAAAATACGGCACAACTCTCACCTTTGTGAACTCTGACATGATGTATCATATTTCAAAACAACGTTGAATATGTTGTTAAAACTATTATGACGTAAAAATATACCGGTAGGTCACGCAACAGTGAACATTTAATTCAAACATTTTAATAGTACCACGAACATCATTTCGGTGGCCTTATTTCGGCGTCTTCGAAAATAACACCTATTTGCGACGTGATCACGTGATTACACAGTTACTTTTTTTTAAATATTTATTTCATATTATTTGAAAATAATTTCTAAAAATATATTTAAAGCTCCCTCAAATATATAACTTGATGGGGTTCAAAGATATGTTACTTCGGAAGCGTGCTATGGAATTGCAATAACAATAACCTCTACTACATCCTTAAAGTAGAATGCCACACACAAGTTTAATTTTTTATTTTCTTTATTTTTATATATTTGATATATCATGTTAGAAGGAGGACGAAAATCAATTAAAAATATGAGGTAATCGTCGGTATCCAGGTCAAGAAAAGTCGATATATAAAATAACACGTGCCAAGGCAACTAATATGTTTACAAATTTCGCTCGGTAACATATGGAGTAAAACAAGATATATAGTGGCACACTCTTTTCACTTGTATTTTGGAATAAAACACTCCTCACAGGATTGGCTTTTGAACTGTCACAGCAAGCTGCTGCCTCACATTCATACATTTCGTGGATTACGCAACTATAGTGTCCATGGTTGGATATTGATAATTGACTATAGTGCCAGCTTTCCGTTGTTAATGTTATTATGGAATAGTTTACACACACCAGTCTTCAACGTTCAATTTTGACACTGTACCATAAACCATGCATATGTCAGTTGCCAACGTTGTTATTATATTTTCAATTTTTTCAAGTGCTGAACCATATTCTGGCCAACCGCATATTGTATTCTTCGTGGTTGATGATTTAGGGTGGAATGATGTCGGTTATCACAATTCATACATAAAGACGCCTACAATTGATATGCTCGCAAAGAGTGGTGTAAGACTGAATAACTATTACGTTGCTAGTCACTGCGTTCCATCGCGAAATATGCTGATATCTGGTAGACATGTGGTGAGTAACAACTGATTATAATATTTTCGATTGGGACTTCCTGGATACCAGGATATGTAAAATTAATGTATCATTCTTTTCGTCCGGATTATACAGTTTATTATCCATCATTCTATCATTATGTCAATAAGTGTACAGAAATAATTTTTTGTTTTAAGCCGGGGAATTATCGTGAGCTTGAATGTTGCAATATTCACAACTTTGTAATATTTTCACAGATTTCCAATTCGACAATATGGCAAACTTTAAAATACCCAAAATTAAAGAACGAGGAGTAGCTGTAACCTTATGTAGACTAATGGCAATCTTTCCGACCGGACATATATCATTGAACAGCATTAATTCTGTCTCACTGTACACACAGACATTTATGAACCACGTCGATATTTAACGATATTTATGTGGCGCGAAAAGCTGACAAGATTTAGTCTAATGGAAATTTGAATAAATTATGTAAACAAATGTGCAGCAAGGCCGGCAGCGAATCGGGGTCGGTAGATAAGTATACGATATTGAAGTTGATAATAAACACGATTTTGACAAGTAAGCTCCCGAATTCGAGACGACAAAACATTTATTAGCTGTATGACAATTATTTGTATATGTCGTGAAACTGGTTCAAATCTCGCGCTATACTCGCCTCTGGATGGCTGGTTAATCCGTAAATAAATATACCCAGTATTTATGTAACTATGTAAACAAGTAACATATAAATTATTTCTTATTTATTATAAGATTGACATTGGTCTACAGCATGGCGAAATTGGATATTATCCCCGGGGTTTACCGCTGGACGAGTTTACTATTGCAGATAAGTTAAAAGAGATTGGATATGCAACTCATCTTATTGGAAAATGGCATTGCGGATGTTATTCAAATCACTCTCTACCACATAACAGAGGTTTTGACACATTTTTCGGTGAGCATATAGATATAATCATTCCATTTACTAATATACAATTCACTAGTAAAAAAAATGTTTTTGGACATGCTATATGTGTTTTAAATACAATTGCAGTTGTGTAGCTTTCAACGACAATTTAACTAGAGTGGTAGTGTATGTATGGGTGCACACCTTTATATAAAACGATCACAAATGTGTGTCTACAACCTGTAACAAACAACAATAACTTGTGTGCATAACGTGATTGGCGAACAGAACTAATTGTGAAACTATATGAAAATTACAAGTGTTTGATACACATCATAAACTTTATCATTGGCTTCTTTTGAGACTCCTTGCAATATTTCTTCCCCGCAAAAATGTGTTGATCAATACTATTGTTTAAGCATATTCTTGTATTACAATTGCGGAGTAAGTAAAAGGACAGTGCACATCTGTGGAACTCCACTGAATGCGATATTCATTGCAGAAGGTGTCCTTGATCCCATCTGTACGAACTATATTATTCTACTATATAATCTTCATTTGATACAATTCCTAAAATGAGTGAACGACATTGCACATAATTACTAATACATTTATTGTGTTTATATGATTTAATCAATTGGACTATACAAAATTAATATTCAAATGTTTTGTTTTATATTTATTCTTGGAATAATGTTTACTCATTCATATTCCGAATCGTATTTTTCTAGGCTACCTCGGCTCATCGGACGATCACTATACGCATATCATAATGTCAAATGGCTTAGCAGACTTACGATTGAATGATGAGTGTGTAGGTTACAAATATTTTGGTGATTATTCAACAATTATGTATGCAAATGAAGCAAAGAATATAATTGCTCAACACGATGAAAATAAGGTAACAGTATGCATTTTAAGGCAGTACATACTACTGTTTGGCTCGTCCATATTGTTTGAATGATCCGCTAACCGTCGATAGTGGACGGTGTTTGTTCACCATTTACTAGGAAAGAACAGTATCCGTTTACGAGTTTACATGTTTCCAAGGACTGTTTTTGATCAGTGGGTTGTTTTCACATGACTCAAGCAAAGAACATAACGCATACAATCACTATTAAAAAAAGATGCAATTTTAAGTGGCTACATTCTCGATTTGAACAATATAATTTCATTATTTTCTGCTCAAATATGTTGTCAGATGCAAGAATTCTTGATCCAAAGATAATAATCCAAACGCCAATAAAAAACACCTGTCAATTAAGACAATTCAAAAGAAGTCTCTTGGGTGGTCGCTATATAGGAGTTTGATATATATATATATATAT